TTCGACAATTTGGGTTATCGTTCGTTTATGGTATTTGTTTATTAGGGCACGGTTATATAAAGATTTCGCGATATATTTGATGAGGACAGTACTCATCTAGCGTCCAGAATGTCAAACACAATATGGAATCCCGAAAAAAAAAATTACAGTGAAATTTTCAGTGGAAACAATGCTCTAACATTAATATTTATTGTCGACAATAAAAATGATTGTTATAATGTTGTACTCCTCCGAAAACGGCAAAACTGCTACCTAGATGTACAATGAATGTACATAATAAAATGTTGTTACAATGATTTTTATCGTATTTTTCATTTATTTTATTGTTAACATGATTCGATCATGAACAATAATGAACAACTCTATTACAATAAAAATTGTTGTTACATTAAATATTGATGTATTTTCATTGTGGGTTACTTCACGAACAATAAAAATAAATCTGATTGAAGCATGCAGACTATGAGAGGGCCAGCAACACTGCCAATGTAATTAAGATAGGCGCTGCTCGTATGGCTCTGGCTTTGACAGTTCGTTTGGCTCAAAACCAGGCAGTCCGCGTCCGCTCATATCTTATCCTAGACCCTCTCTAAAGCTTATTGGAGACCTTTTCCGTGCAGTCAATAATCATACAATAATAATAAAAAATTCCACCACTTGAAGATGTCAGGAAGGAACTCTCAGGTGGAAGCATATTTCATGGGCGATTCTCTCCAGTCGAATGCATTAACTTATCAACGACGCTCAACCAATTACGGATCGAATCTCGATCCATAACCAGTAAAAAAAAGGACCACCCGTAACAGACATACCACCCCCTTCCCTTCCCGGGGCAATGTTTTATTTTTACGATTTATTTTTAAAGTCGATAAAGTAGATCTGTCAAGCCAACACATACACTCTAAAGTACACTGTTATTTTTTTTAATCAATAAATTCGCCAACCAACAGTAAAATAACAATAATATATAATGTTATTGAAAAAAAATTATATGGGAAAATCACGAATATTTCATTGTTAAGATACTTAACAACCCCCCTTTTTTATTGTAAATTTTCCATTTACCATGAAATTTATTGTTTTGTACAACATAAATCAAGGTTAATTTATTGTATACGTAACAATATAAATCATTGTTAAGACAATAATTTTCGTCTTATTGTTACATTGTTTTTTAATATATTTTTGTTGTTATTTTTTTTCGGGATGTTTTTACTGCTGAGTTATTAACGAAGGAGAAAGTCGATGAAGAGAATAATCAATCAAAGCGCTTTGAAATCAATGTTCATCTAGAAGTGAACGGCTTATTTGTTTAATTAGGTATATGAAAAAAAAAAGAATCAAGCTGTGTCAAATATTTTAATTCTTATCATGAACCGATGATTTCATCATCCACTTGATTTCCCAATATGATTTCAATAAATAAAACTACAAGCATAAAATTCACCCAAACCCTCAGCTCGGCAACCCTGCTAGATATATGCGAGTGCGCTGGCCTTGTCGCACTTGTCAAACCCGAATGCGAGCGAGACACCGATGATCTTCTTCCTATTGTTCTTACCGCTGCTCTTGTCTGCAGCTGAGTTGCAAAAAAAAAGGATTTTTCGTCTATAAATCAACTTCACTCACAGCAGCAGCATAGGCTAGGGCGACAAACAACGGCACACCGAATTGCGCAATTCCGCAACTTATTATGGGCAAAAATGCACTAAATGCGTCAATTTTAGGGTAAACGTAGCAATGCGAAAAATACACACACGCGAGCCGAAAAACGCAAAGTGCACCCGAAACCAATGGCCACCGACTTTTTTCCCTCACTTGTCGCTGTAATAGACACGGAAGGCCTTCGAACTCTCGTCGTCGTCGGATGATCGCTTTTCACTTACGGACACAGCACCGTGGGGGAACTAATCAGGACCGAATCGGCAGAACTCAACGAATACAACAGCGGAATCGCGCCGGAAACTGAGGAAAACTTATTCCGGATTAGTTTTGTTTTTCTGCACGGGTATTTTTCACTTATTTTCGCCAACAACACCACGGACGAACGACACAGCCAACAACACACGAAAAACGCGATTACACAAATTTTTTTCGGCTCCGTCTGTCGTCGTCGGCGCTCGCTAGATTATTCTATTCTGCATGCGAGTGTGGGAGAACTCTCGGGAGTTTTTTTTTAGGTTATTGAGTGCCGGTTGTTGGGGTGGTCCGTGGCCTTTTTGCTACTGTGGTGGCAAGTGCATATGGCGCCTATCGCAGTACTCACTCTCGCGAGTTGTTTATGTGTGGTGAGAGCGTGCCGGCTTTCGGCATGCAATTCTTGACAGCAAACTGCATTGAGACCCATCAATGGACTGGTCGGCTGGGATGATAGACAGGAAAACGTGATTTGAAAATTGCGCGCTTAGTGCTAGATCCGTTGACAACACGTGCCTGTTTAGTGTTGCATGCTTTCAATGACGGTTGTTTTGTAATCAGATGATGCTCCTCTCGAATACAGGATGAATATTGATTCGAGAAACGAACGGACCTCAGTTGAAATACATAATGATCTGTAGAATGGTTGTCATCCTAAATGGAAATGCATATGATGTTGATTCAGCCATTTGCTGATCTGATCTGACAAACGAGGTGGAAACATAGTCATCGCTATCAGATGTGGTACTAACATTGGTAAAGTGTGGAAACCGAAGATTGTCTATTTTGTGGTGGAGTAAGTTTCCTCTACCAACAAACGATTTTTGTATCCATGATAGAATGGCTGTTCATGGCTATTCAATATGAATATGTAAATATGTAAATTGAATTATAAATCTAATCTAAAGTGATCGAAAGCATTTGCAAGTCATCCTATCATTAAATTGTTGTCATCTGAGCCCTGTATGTTTTACAGCTAATTTTCAAATAAATATAATCCTTTATTGGGATAACAGTCATATGGATGCCCTTCAGCTGGTACCGAATTCAACCATAAGGTAATCATAAGGGAGGAGGTGGCTGTCAAATACGAACAATCGTCGCCTACCTCGCATAACTGGTTCCAAACGTAAACAAGCCATAAGAAACCTACAGCGTTTGTTTACGTTTGGAACCAGTTTCCTACAAGAATGATCAGTAGGCTGATTTGACAGGAAGTCCCCCCCAGGGTAATCATCCGAAATTCGAAAGCATATTGTTAAAGGGCTCGAGCAATACAATAATCATTCAAAGTTTTGCGGATGTTTTCGTTCAGTGTAGGTAAATCACCAATAGAGATTAAAACCCTTATTTTTGTTTTCAAAAACATAGATTTTAGAAAGAAAAACAATAAAATATTTGGTAGTCCACTTTGGTAGCAATAAATGCTACCACATGTATCCCATATATTATTTGACAAAGGTTCTATATTTCGTAAAAAAATCAGGTGTAGCATTTGATAACGGCACAAAAACTTTTGGAAAAAAAAGTTGTAAATTAAGTAAAGTTCCCATGAATTTCCCCCTAGTTATTTTAAAACTTTTTTTTTAACTTAATTTTAGATTTTTAGCCGTAGGCTAGTTTATCTCGAACTTTGAAACTCTCTCGCAAATACATTCAAATTTGGCATAGTTGCAAATCGACAGACCACTGAGGAGCAGGGATTTGACAGTTGACGTAACATAGTTCTTTTTAAAGCAGTAGATAGAATAGAGTTTAAGCTTGTTATAGGTTTGGTAAAAAAAGTGGATTTTATTTCTAGTAATAAACTGTATTTGTTTTTGTGTTGTAAAAATGAAGTGAGAAATGCTCGCTGCACATCTCGGACTTTAAGTGTAAAAAATCATTATTGTTGGTTCAAATGTTAAGATTTTCCTACTCTTTGTATATCTATAGTAAACTATGATCCTAATCTATCAATTTCTTTAATCAAAAACAAATTTCAACAACTGAGTGAAAAGTTTTTAACAAATGAGCAGGTTTTGCTCAAACTAATCCGATTTGATTTTTTTATAATTTTATATCTAAGTTGTTTTGATGCTACAGTAAATTGTTTTCTAGGGCATAATAAAGAAATATGCTGAGCATAAATAGGGTAGAGAACTACTTCGGCCTAATCGCCCATTTTGGGCCTATGGAGCAGCAAACTTCAAATAAGTCCATGATTTCAGAGTAAACAAGTCAATTATGCATTTGGTGCGATACTTTAGCTAATAAGCTACCGAACGAAGTCAATGAGAACGCGTGATATGAAGGTTTGCACCCATTATTTACAAAAACAAAAGAAGCGCTCCGACCGAATCATGTTTTTTCTTCACCCGATAGGCCGAAGTGAATTCATTGGCGTTTCAATGCGTTAGGCCGAGTTTAGAATCCGTAGGCCGAGTTTGGCGTCAAGAAGCAGTGTTAGACTTTTGACAATACCTCAACGATTGGTTTCTCTTTATCAAATCTTACGGTACGTACTTAAAGATAAATAAATTTGAAAGCCATCAGTAATAATAACATTCCGTTTGGTGCTAAACTGCGCTAGATTAAGAAAGACTAAATGCGGGTTGTGCTTAATAGGCCGGAAATGGGGTAGTTAACCCTACACGGTTAGTCTACAAATAGGTAAATTTTTCCATCGACATTATTTTCCAAAAAAATCACAATATCTCAAAACCTAAAGGACTTGCAGTTAGTACATTGGGAAGAGTTGCTCAAAATGACATTGTCCAAAAACTTGCCGAAGACTCCATACTTCTATCGTACTTTATTAAAAAAAATAACAAAAGCGCCGCCCTAGGTGTAGAACTTCGAACTACTTTGATGTTACCACATGAAGACGTAGGTACTAAACATCAACTGTGCTGAGAACACTGTACTTTTATAACGGAACCATAAGGAGCTATTAATGTATGCCATGATTTTGTACTTCTCCGACCACTGTACACCTCCTCCCCGATGTACGCTGGTCCAATTTGTTTGACGGTTTTTCGGATTAAACAACAAACACCAAAGTTTAAAAAATGGTCATTTTGCTATTTTTATTTTGAACCGCTAAAAGTTGTTGTGGTACGGTTCATTTTTCATTCTGGTAAAAGTGTTACATTCCGATTGCTCTTTTCAAACTACTTTACTTGCATTGTAAAATTTTGTTACCCTATAAAAACGTCCGATTTTAAAGCATCTAATAAACTTTTTAAGGCACACAATTTTTCATCCCCACTCCCTCTCTTCATCCAGCTCGCATTATGCCCACGCCCACTTGGGTGACTGACGACCAAAGTTCCACACCGTCGGTTGTCCCTGGTGAGGAGCTTCCAGCTTTTTCGCTGCACTCCAGTCGAACGGCTTTACCCGTTGAATCTTGGTACCAGATGCCGAAACCGCATCGACTTCACCCTCTCCCTTGGTTGCGTCAACGCTACGCTTCACAGCCTGTCCATCGGTAATCGGATCGTACAGAGGTCCCGAGTACGCCTGGAAGATACTGGTCCCATTGCTGACATTGGTTTCCACGAACAGCTTCAAATCGATGTTTCCGAAGGCGGTCGGATGTTGCTGATCCAAATCGCCTCGGTAGGCACTTTGGCGGATGAATTTTGCCAGCCCTTCCAAGTCAGTGATGTTGTTGAGGATTTTCTCCTGAATGGAATGTTGTTGCGTGTAAGTCCCGTTGGTCTTCACCTGACCGATTTCGGCTAATTCCTGTGAAAAAAAAGAAAATTGTAGGTCGAATAGAATTAAAGTAAGCAGATTTGAGACTTACGTTGAAGGTTGGCACACCAGTTCCCAGCCAGTATCCATCCCTTATTATTTGCTGAGTCATGTCTTCAGCATGCAGTCTTCCGGGTAGTTGATCAATCACCCAAAACAATCCTCCATCACTGAGCTTTCCAATGGAAGTTGTCTTCTTCACAATTCCTTCGAAGTCAATCTCCGCGTAGTCATTCAATTGCTTCACACCTGTCTTCATGTGATCATCATACTCAGCATGGTTCATTAGTAGTTCTTCAGCTTCGGCAGACTCGTCTGACAGTTCCATGCCCCGATTCAGTCGCTTCAAGTCGACCACTAGCCACTGCTTTGCTCCAGTCGAAGGGCTTCGTGCGAAATACTTGGACCATACCCGGCCACTGTGAGCCAGTCGGTTGGCAGCCATTACCCTAGGTGCCAGGGAAACCGATCGTACCAAGTCTATCTTCGTCCAGAGATTCATGTTATCGTTTTCGATCTTGATGCCGGCTACGACCATGCGGTGACGTTTACCAGATAGCATGTAGAAATCATCCAGTGAAGCCAAAACTGCTGGATATCCGGTGAAGACAATGTTCGTATTTGGGACTACTCGCTCAGCGCTCGATTCAGTGGAGAAATGATAATTTAGCGTGTACTTCTTCATCATCCTCAACATGGAAGCGTAGCTGCCGTCACTCGTGTGACCCAGCATGATGTTCACCTTCCCGCTAATGCTCTCCACCAACTTCAGCAGCATCATTCCCTTGTTCGGTTCCACGCTCATTCCACTCTCGCTATCCAGGAAATTCATGTAGTACGCTTTGAGATCACGAATGTCCACCGCACTGTTCATCAACAGGAAGTCTTCCATGGGAATCTCGTGCTCCTGACGAGAGCGCCGAACACCCTTGCGGAATCCAAACTCCAGCCCATCCAGCTGATCGAAGAACAGGCCAACCTGATACCAGTAGTGATCATTTTTGCCCTTCATATCGGCCATCTTCTTCACCGTTTCCACATTGGTGCTGATGACCCGACGCAGCCAGTGGCAAAATTCCTCCGACTGATCATCCCGGCTGCATTCCGCTTCGATGGTGCTGGAAGGCAGAAATAACAAAAATAAAAGTGAACGATCAAACAACCGATGATTGGTAAGTCAATTGTGAGGTTTTTTTTTATGTTTGCAAGAGATTTTTCCACTGTTAAGTAATGTAAATTTCCCACTATAATATGCGTAGCAATATCTAGATAATCTCATCCAAACCACTTATCTCTCTCGTGCTAGATCAAGGCCATTGTCGACTTATCATCCTCATCATACTTACTTGGCCCAATGCTGATGGATGTTGTGCCAGGTAAGGGCACCCTCCAGCATTCCCGCGGCAAAGGCTTGAATGCTGTCCGGATACTCAGGTTGGGATTCGAGCTCCAGCTGGGACCAACCGCTCTCCATGAGGCTGTGCTTGAAGCATGCTCGCACTGCTCCCCGGGGGACTTCCTCCAGATCATTACGTTGTCCCCAGAATTCCACGCGGAAGCCCGAATTGCGGGCCCAGTACGTGGTCGCGCAGTATGTGCCACTGTAGTTGGGTCTGCAATGGAGAGAAATCAGAAATAGGTTTTAAGGTTTTTGGATGCTAAGGGTAGGTTTGTTCAAGGTGTGTATAAGTTTTCTAAATATGTTGAAGCTTATCATTAATTAATATGTTAATTTAAAGTTAACCAAGTTAACCAAGTGTTTTGTCTTTGGTTACAGCTATCTATGAATCGACACAAACCCCCCTCCCGTATTTCTTCCCTTATGGCAGCTAATACATTAATGTTGAGATGGGGTCTTGCCGATCGTTTACCCTACCGATGATGTTACTATGACTCGCCCTGTTTCACATTCGTGGATTACACAGAACTTATTTAACCTGCTGATAAAGATGTTGTGATGCCACCCCCAGAGACGATTTTATATAAGAGATGCGTGGAGAGAATAAAAGTAAATTTGGTTGCACGGCCAACTAATTTCTTTTTCTGTAAGATTTGTCAACCTGCAATTTTGTGTTGCTTCAAGTGACTTATATACCACATTGGATGGTATATTATACAGAGTGTTGCACAAAATTATTCAATTTGAGATTGTTGCTTCCTATCATGCATGAGTGAAATCTCCCTTTTGAAGTCTTTCACAAATTTTACTATCTTGAAAAATTACACCGGAAACGCCTTGATCTTTGTTACACAGCCTGTGTAGATATATTTCGTTGTGCTGCATCAAATATTTCGTGAGAACATAACGAGAATTCAGCTGGCGAATAACAATAATATTCCCTGTCCAATTTCACTTTTCATACGCAAAGTTAATTATAATTATTTAAATCTCAACAGTTAACCAGCGTCTGGCTGAAAATCTCCTTAATAAAGACAACCAACCTCAACAATTAAATTCATCCCCGATCTCAATACTTCCCACGCTTTTCTTCGTGAAGCGCTCGTGTTTATTTACATTGCTCGATTGGAACCGCGTTTGACGGTTCGATTGGAACTTTTGGCTTCGGTCTTCGCGCGTCTCTTATTTAACATCGTCTCTGGCCACCCCCTGTCTACTGGTATAGCATGTACGGTGCATAAAATTATCGGAAACCTGGCCCTTGGCCCCCTTCTATACTACAAAATCACAATCACAATCACAATTACATATGGATTATTAATTTTGATAACGATTTGTTCTCAGTAGAGCTAGATTTTTTATCATTTTGATAATCTTATATCTTAATCATACTATATACCATTTAGGTCTCATTGTTGTTATGATTACTGTTAACTCGACCACACGGTTGTCAAATTATGTTATCATGAACGATTATATCATAATAAGGTGATCCAAGAGACGTTTCTCAGTGGAGCTGACAGCTAGCTCTAGAGTGTGTGAGTGATCTGGTGTTAATGGTGCTGAATGTAAACATAAACAAAGTAGAAATTCATATGAGAATGAACTGCCAGTTCTAGTGTGATCTGTCAAAAGTTCTTGGTAAACAAAAAAGTCAGCTGATCGCAACTGTCTCGTGGACAGCCTTATATCATAGAGGTAACTCTAAGACCACTGGGTCCCGAAGAAAATCATTATTATTTTTGGCTCACTCAGTACCAGAACAACGTTCCCAAGCAGTCCCAAGCTATTTCACTCACCCCTGCATGTTCTGCATGAATCCACACATCCCTGATGTTATCTGTCAAACTTTCATAGCGAATCAAAACAAACATAGTGTAGTAATAGAATTTCAACTAGAATAGGGTACGTTAATCGTTTGCTTGGGACCAATAGGCTACTAAAGTGGTGAGCCAATTTAAAATCGTTAGTTTCGTATTGATTGTTGCTTATATCAAACTATGTTTTAATTTTGTTTTCATTCTCTGCTCCGGAAGAGATAGGTAATGACCATGAGTATGATTGACCGCCCGTGATTGCTACCCTGTTATTTTGAACATCATCTATAATTACACAGAGAGCCCATAAATGGGCTTAGGGTCCTAAACCCTATGTGCAAATGCTGGTAATATCGTGAAATTTATGCAATACCGTCGCCGGCCACCTCCAAATGCAGAACAATTAGAGAGGGAAATAAATTGTTGGCGTTTGAAACCGAGAAGCAGCAGGAATGCCATGGTATTTTAGAAAATGTCTCATATTTTCAATTAATTTTCAGAACTTCAAGAATTATGAAAAAAAAAAATATATTAAACCTTATGCAAATAATTTAAGTCCTAGAATTAAGATATTTTTTTTCTGATTCAGAGATTTTAAAAACTGTTTGAAGTCTCTGACATTTTAAATATTGCTATGTTACACTATCTCATAAATGTGTCTATAATGTCTATATACGTTACTTGATTAAACGGTTAATTTGGCTGGATTTTAGAAAGAGAAAGATTGCAGTTTGAAATTGTTTTAAAAAATTTGGATTGACATTTATTAAGAGGCAACTAATCAGGGGAAAATTTAAGAAATTTCGATGTAAGAAGAATCTTTTATACTATGACCTACTTGGAAAAAATCTTGAGTATGATTTTTTAGATTCAGCATCACTATGCATATAGGAATCAAGGCGTTTTTTTTCTAAATTCTGTGCGTTGATAGATAAAAAGGTTTCAAGCCTCTTGTACAAAGATTCAGATGTCTGACTTAAGAGATGAACTAGCCTATGGCTAAAAATCTCTATAATAAAGGGAAAAAAAAAGATGTCTGACTTTGAAATTACGGTAGTCCATTGTCAAGTTTCTTGGGCTTGCTGAAAAGATTCATGACTCTGGCTCTTTAGCGCCAGTGGTGTAGTGGCAATCGTGATTGCCTCTCACTCCAATAGGCCTGGGTTCGATCCCAGTCGGCGTCGTTGAGATTTTTCAAAATTATACGGATAAGCATGAATAATATAATTATCCGGATAGACCAATCAAGTGGATGGAAATAAACGAAGTTTATTCATGTCCACCTTTTATTTGCTCCGAATAATATCCAAGTTAAAATTATCCGGATACTTTTTACTTGGATATTATCTAGGGGTGAGACAGGTTTACTCTGAGTTGCTTTTTTGCAGTGAGTAACTCGGGAGTTACTTAATTAACCTCATTATTTATTATTATTTATTCGACGTTCATCATTTTTTTTCTCTACTTACTCCGTTTACTCCCTTTAAGAATAAGCTTCTCATATTAGACGTCAGTTTTGTTTTCAAACAAACTAAGCCCAAGTGTATCCTGAGGTTTTCGAATAGCTTGAATATTATGGAAGAACCTGTGCCGGTGCCTGCTTACTACCAGCAGTTGTTCTTCTTCCCAGTTGTCACTTCAAAAGGATCATCGCTGATCAAACAAGCTCTGCAAACAGTTATTTTTGTAAACATCTGGAATTTCACCTATAATGCAACGATCTCATCAGCATCGATTGATCCAGTAGTCGTTACAGCAGTCCCATTGAGAATGGTAATAACCTGAGTGGTGCGAAGACGGACCTCAAAATCGAACCACTTTCGAGCTGTCAAATCGAACCACTTTTTTATCATTGTGGTTCGTTGAAATAGATAGAAGTATTGTTATCGTCCAAAATAAAAAATAAATATTTTTCAGTAATGTTTTTGATCTTTTTAAAAACGTGATTCGAAACGACTCAAACAATTAAAAATAACAGTATTATTGCGTATTTTGGACCAAAGTAGACTCCTGCGCTGAAAAAAACCCCTCCGATTTTTTTTCGCTCAGGAACGACTGTGACTTCGGAGAACGTTCTAAGGAGATTTGTGATGATAGTACAAAAGTTCCAGGAAATTTCAACAGATTTTTCCCGCGACAGAAGAGGTTTCAGTGGATATTTTAGTTGCTGCCAGCGAGGTTCTACGGGGGTTCTATAGAGTTTTCATGTTCGAGTTTCACACGATTTGGAGGGAAGTCAAATCGTTGCCATTGGAGGTCCCAGGGAATTTCGATAGCACTTCCATAGATATCGTCGGCCACATTAAATTTGCATCTGATTTGCAACAATTTATACAAATAAAAATTACTATGTTTGATTGCAAGTCAGGTAGAGGATGTGTCAGGGTTTTATTCTTTCTTGACTTCCCTGAAATTGTATCACTGATAAATGGACCATCATCATATGTTCGCAGTGTAGGGATTGCATTTTTATCACGATAAGCAACTGAATTCAGATGTTTTACACAATTTTTATCAAAATGAATACTGCACAACCGGTCACTGGGTTTGATTTGAAAATTGAGATCCACCTCACAGAAACTGAGCCACTCTTTTCGTAATGCTGAATCCTTGGGAAACCTGAATAGGCTTCGCTTTTCTTCGTGTCCATCTTTATAATTGCAAAAGTGAGCAAAACACTTCATTCTGAATTTTATTCCACTCCGTAAAAACTCCAGCTATGAACAATGTCAACAAACATTCACAAAGTCACGAATCGGCTCTGCACAAAAAGCCGTTTGACACTTCTCTCTACCAACCGACGGTGATGAAACGTTTATTTCAACACTACCAACATGAAGAAAATTTCACTTCGCACCACTCAGGTAATAACTAACTCCGATCCCCTTCTCGTTAGCACCATGCAAGTTAGCTACAGCGTGAAGATTCCATCACAGCACATCAAACATAGCGTGGTGAGCAATGTTCCAACCGTGACCCCTCCAATGAAATCCACCGCTACAGTTTCCGATATAGAACACATCTCCCCGGTGGGACAACAACCGATTAATACCCAATTCCAGCTCCGACGGCAACGCTACCAACCATTACCGCAGAAAAGGAGGAGGACGTTGAAGTAACCGCTACCAATGTTTCCGGTGAGTGCGATCATTGTCCGGACTTCAAATCCATCAACGATCAACCGGACGAAATCGAAGTGAAAACCGGTCAGGAACTCGAAGGACAAATCAAGCTGACAGATTATCTTCGTCGACTTTCTCTTTGCATTCCCACGGCAATGTTAAGACCAAGTACAGGATCGTCATGAGACGTGATCAAGTTCACAAGATCGCAACCAATCACTCGATATCGTCAGCGTTGTTCATAAAACAGATGGAGACGAACAACAAATTCTACACCTGGGCCACTTTGGACTTAACCAACGAGAAACCGAAGAACACACGTATGGAGTGTTGTTCTACTTTAAAGGAGACTGCCGTCGACGGCCGCAGCAAAATCACGGTGGTGTATCGCAGAAACTGGACCGTATCACTATCATCCAGAAGGCACAGCAGAAGCACCAAAAGAGCAGGGATGGATGTCCACCGTCAGTAGAACGGCACAGTGGTAATTCAGAGCTCGGTTCGCAGTTTCATCCAGCGGCAGTTTGCCAAGCCATGGGAACGGGATTGCTTCGACGAGTATTGTAGTTTGTACGTGCAGTACGTTGTGTATTGCGAATTCAGAGAAAAATTAAAATTTGGAAACGGCAATATTTGGTCAGGCATATCCAGTTTTTCCACCATATCAAGCCGGACAAGCATTCGCCCTTGGTAAGTCTAAGGCAGCTAGGCAGCAATTTCACAGTTGGTAAGGGTTGAACGAAGGTTATCAAGCTGAGATGATGCAGGATAATCAAATCAATCAATTTAAGTGTCATGTAAACATGTTTTCCTTTAAGTTGTTGTTTGAATTGACAGCATTGAAGGCTGTTGCTGTGATGTGAAAAGTGAGAAAGCAAATGACAGTGATCTTGCTCACTACGCAATGTGAGTTAGTCAAAATGGCTTAAAAGATACTCAGAAATTGCTCATGATTAGGAGCTGTCTTGCCCCTCTGATATTATCCATCATTTTTTTTTTACCGGATAGTATCCGGATAGACTACGACCAGTTTATGTTTAGAATAGGAATGTTTGATATCAAATATGTACTTATCAGTATGGGTTTTTTGGATTGGAGTGATGTTTACAGGCCGGAAATTGATGACAGACGCCATTTTAAAATCCAAGATGGCGGCTTCCGGTTTCATAAATAGTGGAAAATACTGTCAAATACCCTTAAATATGGGTATTTTTGGAACCGGGGTGATGTCTGGAGGCCGAAAATTGATATCCTACGCCATTTTTTTTAACCAAGACGGTGGCTTCCGGTTTCATAAAAAGTGACAATACTGTCAAATACCCATCAATATGTTTTTTTTTAATCGGGGTGATGTCTAGAGGCTGGAAATTGATATCCGATGCCATTTTGAAATCCAAGATAGCGGCTTTCCGCTTCATAAAAATTAGGAGATACTGTCAAATACCCATCAATATGTGTTTTTTAATCAGGGTGACGGGAGGTCGGATATCGGTATCCGGTGCCATTTTGAAATCCAAGATGGCGGCTTCCAGTTTCGTAAATATTGGGAAATATTGTCAAATACCCATCAATATTGGTATTTTTTAAATCGGGGTGATGTCTAGATGCCGGAAATTTACATCCGACGCCATTTTGAAATCAAAGATGGTGGCTTCCAGCTTCATAAAAAGTGGAAAATACTGTCAAATACCCATCAATATGTGTTTTTTAATCGGAGTGATGTCTAGAGGCTTTAAATTGATATTGGACGCCATTTTTAAATCCAAGATGGCGCCTTTCGGCTTCATAAAAAGATGAAAGTCCGGCTTCATAAAAAGATAAAAGTCAAATCATATCAATATGGATATATTTTTAATTTTCATTCCTTTATTTTATGTCGGTCTCTGTTCCGCAATCTAGTGTCAATCACCGACGGACATCGATATGCCTACGTAGGATATCGCACCCATTCAACACACATGGGTCTGGACCATCGGCTTTACTTCCCTTCCGAAGGAAGACAGCAGGAAATTGATATCCGATGCCATTTTGAAATCCAAGATAGAATCCGGTTTAAGAAAAAGTGGGAAATACTGTCAAATACCCATCAATAGGGCTATTTCAGGAATCGGAGTGATGTCTAGAGGCTGGAAATTGATAACTGACACCATTTTGAAATTAAAGTTGGCGGCTTCCGGTTTAATAAACAGTGGGAAAAACTGTCAAATACCCATGTAATGTGGCAAATACTATACAATATGGGCGTTCCAGGTCGACGCGCAGATGCCGGAAATCAATGTCCGATGCCATTTTGCAATGCAAGATAGCGACCATCGGATTCCAAAAACGTGTAAAATACCCATAAATATGGGTATTTTCAAGACGGGGATGACGTGTAGATTCCAGAAATCAATGTCCAACGCCATTGGGTTCGTGAACTACTTCGGCCTAATCGCCCATTTTGTGTCTATCGAGCAGAAAACATCAAATAAATGCATGATTTCAGAGTAAACAAGTAAATTATGCGTTTGGTACGATACTTTAGTTCAGAAGCTACCGAACGAAGTCAATGGGAACGCGTGATATGAATGTTTGCACCCATTATTCTAAAAAAACAAAAGAAGCGCTCCGACCGAACCAATTTTTATCTTCATCTGATAGGCCGAAGTGAATTCAATGGCGTTTGAATGGCGTTTCAATGTGTTAGGCCGAATATAGAATCCGTAGACCAAGTTTGGGGTCAAGAAGCAGTGTTAGATTTTTAACAATATCGTAACAATTTGATTTTCTTTATCAAATCTTACGGTACGTACGGAAAGGTAAATCAGTTTAGAAGTCATCTGCAGTGAAAAAAATTCCATTTTGTGAAAAAAAAATCCACTCGAAAGAGGCAAAGGGCGGGTTGTGCTTAGTAGGCCCAACTTGTGAAATGAATCAATCACTCCAATTCGCAAGAGTGATCCGTCATTATCAAAAGAATTCAGCGAAATGTTGCGGAATGAGTGAATAATGTCATTCCTTTGTAATATTATGAGCATCCGCGGGAGCTGAACGAGTTTTCATTCCTGTTTCTGAAACCTAACATCTTCCATCGTGGGTGCACAAATTGATAATAAAATCGTTAAACCTCGGTAGAGCAAATACATGCCAACTGACGAAACGATTTTATTTTACCCTCTCCGAATTCCATGAAACTTAGCATAATTGTTCGCTAGAGACAATGAACCAAGTTTGTGCTGGAAGTCAGCGATTTTGACTCTCGTTTAATTTTACAAAATGGCGTGTTCGATATATTACAATACATAATAGCACGAAAACGGCTTAATCTAATCGAAATAACATCTGAGATAAAGTTGTAGGAAACTGGAGTGCCTTTTGATGAGTAAATTTTTGTCAAAAAATGCAAAAAAGGAACAGTTTTAAGAATTTTAATTTTATGTTTATTTGAAAGCTTATAAACAATGCAAACATCTTTTGATATTGGACAAAATTGACCAAAATCGATAAACATCAATTAGGGGAATTTACGTATTTTCGTAAATCTAAGCAGCTTCCGCACTTCTATTAATTTATCAGTTTCACGCACACATATGGCGCGTTTGTTTGTTTGAACTTATCTTCTGTTTGCTATTCTATCTATTCTAATCCAAAGAATTGCCTAAAAAATTGAAAACGTTTTTACGGCGCTCCAAACGTCTCAGGTGAGCGTGACTATTGTTGGCAATCCTTCCATTTGAACTGCGTGTTAACCAGCTATTGTATTATTGGCAACTCGAAATCAGCCGTATTTTGTAGTGCGTATATTTCATTTCAAGAAAAACCTGGCATAACGGGTTTGCTCAGTCGTAAAAAAGTAATCAGATTGAAGCAAAAGGACTACAGACTAAGGAATACTGCCGCTCTTTGCATGTCCGTTCCATAGCGAAAATCGACAAGCCGAGAATATCGCATTTTAAGTTTGCTTCTTACCATTGCTTCTTATATGATGGGACAACCAATGTGACTGTCTTTCCAAACTTTTTCAGAACAAAGTTGATGAGTTCATCCAGTATTATGAAAATATGCGTAGTTTGCTACCATTTGCATTGAAAAACTCAGTTTTGACAAACACGACTATGGGACCTACATGCGAAGAGCGGCAGAATAGTTGAAATACATTCAATGTTTTGTTGAGAAAATACTGCGAAATAAACGTTTAAATTTTGGTTACTGTAACCAGAAATGAGTGCCGAAGACATCATTTAGCCTATTAGTAAGAAATTATTGTTTTTAGTCCGGAAAATCTATACACACTTAGAAATTTTTACAGAAATCTGTAAAATTTTACCGAAATCTCAACAGCTGAACGTTTGGTAAACAGTTTCGCAAATTTCCTGTTATTTTTCACAAATATCTGTGAATTTTTCACAGATATCTGTAAATAATTACAGGAAAACTGTAAAATGGTTTACCGAACGTTCAGCTGTTGAGATTTCGGTAAAATTTTACAGAAATCTGTAAAATAATCTTAGTGTGTATATAGAGATAGCGTGAAAAAAATTAAATTTTCCTCCAAAACTCTGTTTAATGATTTTAATCAATTTTAAAGTGCAAATCGTGTCCAATATCAGATTTACTGGCAGACTTATTTAGGCCTGCAGTTGTTTAGAAGATTATTAATTTTTATGCAAACATGTGCCACTTTACAAAATTATAGGTAACTCTCCCTACTTGATATATTCCCCAAATTCGGTGACAAATTTAGGTATACTTAGTAATTGCAGCAAAATTTTAATCGAATGTTACATGTCCGAATAGCTTTTTTTTAAATAAGTAAATGATTAATGCATAAATCCAATTTCGTAAGTGACTCTCAGACCTACCTGCCCATATCGGCGATGAAGAATGCCCCGAACGCCAGCATGAAAGCACCTCCCAGGATGTAGGTGCTTATCCGCGTTTTATACCACGATGCTCCAATTACTTTCAACATGGTGCCTATCTTTACTATGACTTTTGAACACAATAAGGTATAGACTACTAGCTCTAACGATTCTTAGTGGAAGACACTTGTTTCGATTTGGTTTAACACTACTTTCCTCTTCTCAAACACTCTAGCTTCACTCACTTCACAGCTTTTTCTTAATTATTGCTCACTTTTTGCTCGTAGTAGATTCAATTGAAGGGACGGATCACAATTTGAACTAATGTCGAACTTAAGACGTACTATGACGGGTGACCAGTTCAGTACCGGTCAGTGGCGGGAGCTAGGCCTGGCTATAGTTCAGGTCGGAAATCACCAGGCCCAAGCCGTTGTACAGATGCAGCAGAATGGTGCAGACTTCAAAGTAGAAGTAGCAAAACTGGGCGGCCAATCCTAGTGGGATCAGGCCGACAGTGAGATGCTGGGCTACCTTGGGGGACGCCAATTTGTACGAGTCAGGACTCCCGTCGACTACTCTCATTGGAATGCGTTAGCTGAACGGTGGATGGTCGGGGGCAAAATTAATGATGATGCCGGCTAGGGGAACCGTTGTCGTACGGTAATGTGATGTAACTTCTGAGTGGGCGACTTTCGATGACTTCAGTCTCAGTGTTGAGACTTGTTGTGCAAGCACACCTGATGTCGTCAGATCCGGAATGACCGACAGTGCAATTACACGCTCTGCACCAGTTCCACGCGTAGAGTGTTCCTGGAAGTGATAAGAAAATTGATTGGGTTAGTATGTCGGTAGATGGTGTGTGTATGTCTGTGTGTAATTTTTTTTATAGATAATGACAATAACAGTGACTGAAAAAATCAGACACAACCCAAAATCTACATTACGACGATATTTAAACCATTCAATGATAAAATTGCCCGTCAATTTCAAAGAGCCATCCCAACAACGGTTGTCGTCATGCAGTAACCGTGTCACGATAATTTACGATAACACCAAGGGCAAACAATTTATCAGATGGTGAAACAGCTCGTGAAATCGCAGTGCAAACACAATTGAAACCACGATCAGCCGGGCATGAAATGGGCATGACTCATACGCTAAGGTGGTGATGGGATATTCCGACTTAAGTAAAAATCGAACCATCGAGTGGGTACTGATCGCAGTTCGATCATTGCTAAATAGCCACATGCAGGTGTCCCTTTTCGGGCTGGCGCCATCATGATTCGACAATCTTTACAAATACGACTGATAAGGAGTAAATAGCATTTCTTCAACACGGTACCCACCTTGGCAACAAATGAGCGAATGACTGCCCAATCGATTTAACGTTGATTGGTTTCAAATACTCGCGGCAAAACACGCGACGATTGTTTTGGCACTTGCGTAACCGCTGTACACAATACACGGATTTGGACAAAACTTTGCAACACTGCAAATGCTTCCGTTCGATGATGATATAAGCACGATCAACTGATTCGATTGTTTGGCGTACTGAATGTTGAAATGATACTTTTCAGTTTCACGACCAAAACCGTTTTGCACTGCTCACTAACGAGGTTGAAAATGAACTGAATGGAACTTCTGGCGCTGCGCGAAGCATTGCGCTGTGTGGGATGTTGAGAAAAGCCGCAGCCAGCAGTTCACGTATACTCACCAATACCAACCTTAGAAGTTGTGACTATCTTTGTGGTTGAAACGTTCCTCTACGGTCGTTTCGCTTTGAAATGAACTCGTGAAGTGGATTGTATGGGGTTTTATATAAACGTAGTATAAACCACGTTGCGATAGTTGTTTTTCTGGAATATCCATGAATGACCATTTGCTCTAAGGCACATGTTCTGGAACTATCGTCTGTCCTCAACTTAGCGCTCGTTGAGTTGAAAATCCACAGCACTGTACAGCACATGAAAGCATAAGTGTCCCATGTTAATATCGATGGGACAGTTATGGCACACACAATCAGACGTAACTCTTTAAATAATTTGTCCTTAAAAATATCGTCATGGAAATCACTAACGACTTCTCTCGAGTTATTAGTGGCGAAAAGCATACTTTCCAAGTCTCAAACAATGTTGTATATAAGATTGATAGAATCTAAATGTCAAAGTGATCCCATCCCAGCGCTGTGGCGAAGGATTCGCGAAACTAATAATATTTAAATTGAACGTTAAATGCATGTTTTGTGATTGATATAAAGCATTACGTCTGTTTGTCTGTGGTTATGGACCGTGTAAGTCTACACCAATCGCGTATTTTCTACACAGAAAAAAACTGAATTTTAACCATCGCGTAAAATCTCCCTTTGCTTAATTTTGAGCTATAGTAGCTACACTGTTCGAAAAAGAAGTGTAAATTTCTATTCAATATGATACACATAAAAGGAGCGTCATATATCATACAAGTCTACAATTTAAATCATACAAAGCTGTGAGACATTTCATGAAATATTCTGAATATTGTATGCAACCATCCATTTTTATGAGCAATATTCAGATTTGTTTTCCTGTGAGTATACAATATTGCTGACTGAGGCGAAATTGTAATTGTCAGCTAATTTTACGCCAAATCCAGCGGTTACTACGTGTGCATTATATATCACAGAGACTTACATGAACTTTTCAAATGGTGTAGCAAAGTATAAAAAAACAATATCCTCATGGAAGTCACTTAAATTTTGAACTCGAAAATATTCTCAATTGAATCCGAATTCAAACTCACTGTACGGATGTTGGAATACTTGCCATGAAGAATTAATGTCAGATGTTATATTTAGGCTCAAATCTCCTATCTGTAGAAGAATGTATGACCTGAGCCAGTGTTCTGATAGATGTTATAAATTGATCATGTAGCTTTCAAATTTAGGTCTTACCAGGACTTGCATTTTTGAAAATCACAACTGGGTTATTCCAGCTCAAGTGAGTACAGAATTTAAAAAAGTTGTGGCTGATGTCACCGATTTGAGCCAAACTTGGTCAAAATGCTTATTTTGACATTCTGAGCAAACGCCTTTTTTATTTTACTCTACAGTGCCTAGATCCTTCTCGGCTACAACACTGGATTTTCGAGATTTTTAAAAATTTCAACTTTCAGAAGAGATTACTCCACAATCAAAGAAGCTATTCGTGATTTTAGAAAGTAAATTTAAAAGGCTTTTTTTTAATGTAGATTCACATAGGTGTATCCACATTTCGTTTTTGTTATAGTAACTACAGTAAACAGACTGATTACCAGCAGGTATCCAAATTGTAAAAAATAGCCTATTTTCACCATACTCGGGATTTTTTATTTCTTAATATTTTGGGCACAAATCTTCACCACACTTTGGAAAACTCTTCCACTATATGTGTTTCCAAGGGCTTCTTTGATTGTGGAGTAATCTCTTCTGAAAGTTGAAATTTTTAAAACATCTCGAAAGTCCAGGGTTGTAGCCGAGAGGGATCTAGGCACTTCAGAGCAAAATCAAAAAAGGCGTTTGTTCAGAATGTCAAAATAAGCGTTTTGGCCAAGTTTGGCTCAAATCGGTGACATCGACCACAGGTGGTGTACCCACTTGAACTGGAATGACCCAACTGCTCTTTTTGCTAACAAATGATAGATAAGATCTTTGTCTTTCATGGAAAAGCAAAACATGTTGGATTAAAAGCATACTTCCTCCATCACATCATAACAGGAATATAACTTTGTACATATTTAGTATCGCAATATGGTTCGTTGTACGTAGGGATTTCTTATCATACAGCCTCGAAAGTTAATCTACGAATCAACAAATGCTTCGTTTCGTAGTTGAATAGGAAGAATATAGATGACTGCTACTATGTATTCTGCAGCTCCAGCTGATGTTTATTTAAGTAATGCTCTACGTGTTTACAATGTTATGATTTTTGAAAGTTCCATTCACTAAAACTAAATTACTCAAAATTTTCCTATGGCCTTTAAAGATTGCATATATATCATGAGACAGTTATGCATATAACGAGAGTATACTTATCGAAAGTATCCAATCCGGATACAACAACTGCGATTCTCAAACAGTATTCCACTCAACCGTGTCCCTGACTTTCAAGAACTCTTTTGCTGATTCATCGGAAGAGCTATAATGACTGCTCCGATTTTTTACGTAGTATTACGTCTTTCGGCAACATATTGGGGGTGAAATAAAAAAAAACAAAAATCCACCGCGTTACGAAAAGTGGTCAGGTTTTAACCACTTATAACACTGCCAATAGCTGATGGATTTTAATTCTAAACAAGCCAATCGATTGGATATTTTTGTACAACTCTGCTCAAACGAACACTTTATCAATTTACATAAATATCCAACTGTTGCAATGGTGATCAAAATTATCACCGATTGCTTGCAAAAAGCGCTTTTCCTAACACTGATTTCAAAATCAAATCCCATCCGGTCTCACCGAACGGTGTTTATTCAATCACCTATGTAGTGGTGTCCAGTCGGTCGTCATCATCAGCAGCAACAGTACGAAATGCTGCCCACAAGAAGCGAGCTGCAGCCCACATGAGCGTCCATTCATCGAAGAAGTAGGAAGAAGTCGCACCGCTAATGATCGGATTCAGTAGCTCTTCGTGAGTCGCTGTGGGCCATCTATGGCAAGCGCGTAACCCTCGTTCCAAATAATATACAGCTCGCCAGTCTCATCCGTGTTGAACACCCTAATAGCTCAGCGTTACTCAACCATCACGTCAAAACGGTCATTTTCAGGACCACTATAAATTTATTAAAGAGTATTTTCTGGATCTTTGTCAAGGTCAGCAATCGGATGTCAGTTCCCATCAGATTAAATCTATCATACAATGTATTTTTAAGATAACGTTGGGGGCAGCGAATCCAAACACATAAAGCAACCAACGATACAGACAAAACGGTTGCTACGACTACCATGACAAACTCGCTCTATAACATATGTAGCTCGATCCGAGTGGTAAAAGGATAATGATATATTGCTTGCCTGCTTTGTTGCAATATACACGGATGAGGACATAGCTTGATATGAATCGGGAAAAGACATAACAAAAAAATTCCCATTAACACACGTGTATCATCTTCGGCTTTACTTCGTGAAGCAGCTTGCCAACAATTTGCTCGTTTCCTTCTACCGCCCCGAATGAGTTGGGTCACACGAGCTGCTTGTCATGAAAAAGAACGAAGAAGATTATATCATTATTGCTTTGCACTTCTGACATAGCGTTATTATTCGGTTCGTTGATCGCTTGTCATTTTGTCATTTGGAGATATTTTTGATTCCTTGGTTAGGGGTGCAATTCAGAAACCAAAGTCGGAAATTTTGCTACGAGTCGGTTAAAATTAAGACTTTATTAATTTTCGAAAGGTCACTATTGAAAATTGCATGAATGTGCAACCATAGAGGTAACTCTAAGACAAGTAGGTCCCGAAGAAACGTGCTCAACTTTTTGGCTCACCTCTGGTACTATCTTCGGTCCCAAGCTTGTCGAATCACCCCTCGAAACATAGGAAAAACCAATAACCCCTCATTTTATCTGTCAAACTTTCATAGCGAATCAAAACAAACATTGCGTAGTACTAGAATTTCGACTAGAATAGGGTACGTTAATCGTTTGCTTGGGACCAATAGGCTACTAAAGTGGTGAGCCAATTTAAAATCGTTAGTTTCGTATTGATTGTTGGTGCAACTGTCAGTGCTGCAAAATCTCGACAATACACGGTGATATTGATAATTCTACTTTGGTCACTTATTTGAGCTAACAGTCATCGCCAAAGCAAATCATGTTTATTGTCAGTTGCAATGCTGTCAGTGACGAGCATGTGTAGATTTTTGTATTAACTAAATTTGTAACAAAATTAAATAACTTGAGCAACACAATTACATAGAGCCGTTAAAGTGAATAAGCATCTCCGTCCTGAACTACTGGATAACAATAATATGACACAGAATGCGAGAAATAAGACTTTTTGTTACCAGGTGAATCTTTGTCATTGACGAAAAAATGAATGAGATTTTGACGAAGATTTTTTGTGGATCAAGCCTAACAGTGACTATATGAAAGTCAATGTTGTCAATATCGTGCGAAAGTCTGTCAATGACAATTACAAATCTGAGCACTGGCAACTGTTGCTATGATCATTAAAATTATCACTGATTGCCTACGAAAAGCGCTTTCCCTAACACTGGTTTCAAAACCGAATTCTATCCGGTCTCGCTGAACGCTGTTTATTCAATCATCGCGTGTGGTGAGTGGTGGTGTCCGGTCGTGGTGTTGTATATTTTTCTCCAGTACACAACGAAAAGCTCCCCGCAAGCAGCTCGCTATCAGTGCTGCCCTCAAGAGCCATCAAGAGCCTTCGATACATCGAAGAAGGAGGAAGAAGTCACACCGCTACTGTTCGGGTTCAGTTGCTCGTCGTGAGCCGCTGTGGGCAATCTATACCAAGCGCGTCACCCTCGTTACAAACACCATACAGCTCGTCAGCCTCATCCGTGTTGAACACCCTAATAGCTCAGCATTACTCAACCATCACGACAAAACGGTTCTTTTCAGGACCACCATGAATTATTGCTGTCTAAGAGATAATTTTCATTGAACGTTCTGCTGCCAGCCACATCACCCCAAAGCTCTTTGATAATGTACCTAGCAGTCAAACGTTTGTGGTTAAATACGTAACAGTATTGAAGTGGTACATTAAAATTCTCGCAATGATCGAATACCACATGACATTGTCAATTAATCAGAAACACTTCGATTAAAGGTAAGGTTTTCTCCAGGACGCTAGAAAAAAAAAAACAAAAAATCTCGAATTTATATGATTGAATTTGGAAAATTTTTGCAAGAAATTCTTTCAATCAATTTTTGCGTTTTTGATATTGAAATAACCAAAAAATCCTTGTTTTTTTGTGCATGAAAATGCGTAATTTTGCCATCAGAAAACGATGCGTTTCTGTGATGGGAAAAAAGTAGTTTCCCTAACACAGTCGCCGAATATTTATACCGAGCACCAGTGTTGGAAAAGTTCACCAAAACTTACTATGACTCGCGAATTTTTCCCTTGGTGAACTTCGTGAAATATCGCGATCTTTTCCAACACTGCCGAGCACGTGATCATACGTTAAATCTACGGTTGTGTCTTGGATACAACCTCTTACTTTTTTCAGAATGTACACAATACAACGTCGCTGAAATTCTCAACTGAAAGTATCAGAACCTGTCCAGGACACAATCCAAGTTTTTCGACTCTAGTTCTAGATAAAAAAAATTTCTAAAGGTCCTATCTGCTTTGATCGATTCTCTTCATCGACTTTCTCTTTCGTTTGTATTTCAGCTTTAAAAACACTCCCTGTTGAATTCGATGTTCTGGACGCTAGATGAAATTTCCTTTATCAAATTATGTTGTAAAAATAGCGTGAAATTAGTTTGTATAGCCGTGGTTCTCAAAAGAGAAAGTCGGATCAAAGCAGATAGGATCTTCTGAAATTTTTAACGACAGTTGTGAGCTAGAAGGACGTCTTGTCAGCTAAACGTTACCAAAGGGGTACTGACAACTTGCCACCGTTGTTTTTAAGAGAATATGCTGAATCACTTCTTACGTCGTTGACAATTATTTTCAACTCTTGTTGCGAATTCGATTCCCGGTAGTTTGGTAGAAGCAACAATCAATACGAAACTAACGATTTTAAATTGGCTCACTACTTGACTAGCCTATTGGTCCCAAGCAAACGATTAACGTACCCCATTCTAGTCGAAAGTCTAGTACTACGTAATGTTCGCTTTGATTCGCTATGAAAGTTTGACAGATAAAATGAGGGGTTAGTGGATTTTCCTATGTTTCGAGGGGTGAATCGATTAGCTTGGGACCGAAGAGAGTACCAGAGCTGAGCCAAAAAGTTGAGCACGTTATTTCGGGACCTTCTAGTCTTAAACGCTGTACAGACTGGAGAGTTATAACATGTTATAACGGTTGTCAAATAATTGCAACATAGAAACCACCATCAAGATAGCGCTATAACATGTTATAACTCTGTAGTCTGAGCGTGCTATTAGAGTTACCTCTATGGTATAAGTATAGTCGCTATATTTATAGTCTGGCGGATAGAATTTCGATCTATCAAAAAGCGAACCAATTCAATATATTGTAGACCAACAATTGAAAAGGTCCTATCAACTTTCATAAACAAAACTTTGTTTATTCTTTCTTTGACAATCGAACGCAAATTACCGGCATCATCGGATAGGGGAATCTTTCCCCAACCCAAAGATAGTGTTAGTTTGCGTAGGCAAGTCTTGAATCACGAGAAAATGGTTTCCGAAGATTTGTTCGCAATAGCTGATGTGCTCTTTTCTGTTGTTGGTCGTGATTTGCTCGATTGGTTCCGCTATTTGACAGCTCAATTGGTTCCCGAGATTCTATTCGCCAGACTATGAATATAGCGACTATAGGTATAAGTTGTGAGAGCCGGATGCGTTACAGATGCGTGAAAGCCTAGAAGAGAAGAAGAAGCATCTACTTTTTATACAAATCTGTATGATAATCATACATTTTCCGTTTGGGTTTACGAGCACAACAACATCAACAAACAAAATTGATGATAAGTAACTATGTTGACAGTACACCGAAGCTCTAATTATAAATATAAACTATTACGCATACCGTGAAGTACAAAGTCAAGTGCTTTGCGTAAAATGGCCGGAGTTTTTTTTTCTGACATTCAATGAAATTCTTCAGAATCCGCTCAAAGTGATAAAATTTTTGTTTATGATCTCCACCCTCAGAAATGAAAAAAAAATACCGTCGAAATATCGACTTCACATCAATCAACCGAGAATGCTGCAGTAAGGAGGAAAAATGTTAATCGACCAATTGAACTGGCCAATAAATGATCAATTCAATGACTGCCGGTCGACTGGCCAAGGCACTTGAAAATCCATTCGAAAATGAATGAGTATTTGAAGCTGCAGACAAGCTGATCACGCGGTTGATCTTTATATAGAGTAAGTACACGAGAGCAAACTGCGCAGCAGCCATACATCTTACCTTCAAGTCCGTTTGTAGGGCCGCGGTCTTCGTCGAATGCACAAACTATATTTTATTTCCCGTCGTCCGGAGGAATCCGCACAGCTCGTATCAACCCATTGAAAACCGGATGTTGTTCGAATGGGTCCAGGCCGGGGTGTTGTCCCGGTGGTGTACGTTTCTTCGTTTGGCCGGTGGCGAAGGCGGTAGGGATTCGCTGAAAGGAAACAATTTGGAAAACGTGGAAATATTAGTTTTCGTTGCCTACGCACATGGTTCCCTTTTCGGTCGATGGGGGGTTCAAAAATAAGGAAATAAATTAACAAGCGATGCGTGGGTGATGAGTGAAAGCGTATGCATGCCGGCAATCAATATGTTTATTAATGGCTTTCGGTGAAAGATTCTTGAATTATGAATCAATTATGGGAAATATCTGGAATGCCAGATGGAAAGTACGGATTGTAAATTTATCAGCGGACCGTCAAAATGTGTTTGTTTCTTTTGATTATACAGGGTGTTCGGTTCCTTAGTGCAAATAATTTAAGGGGCGATAGAACAACTCTCTCTTTGACACCAATTTTCTATCTTTTTTAGTTTTGTCGCAATTTCGCACTAAAAAAATCATGTTGGGTTGTTAATTAACGGTTGCGTAAAATATGAATTCAACCCCACCGTGCGTTGCTGTTGACCTCTGTTTGCAACGCGCATAGCAAACTTGATCGCCACGCGGAGTGACGGTCTGATAAAAGCGATAAGTGAGACGATAGGCATCTTTTGGTTAAACAAAACAATATACTTTATTACGTATTTTTTTAAATAATAAGGGAAACCCCGTAGGAAAACACAAGTTTTTGACTCGTTTATCCCTAAAATGTGTCTAAATGCAGCTTACTTAACGTAAAAATGACACTATTAAGTAGTAAATTTAACAAGCTGTCCAATGAAGGCACTTTTGTGCTAAATGGCATAGTTTTTTTAGTTAGAGCCAATTTATGGCAAGCATAGACCAAAACAGAAAAAGTTCAATAACTCAGTAATCACAACAATTTTTTACTTCAAATATGATGATCTTCTATCGCCCTTAAATTATTTGCACTAAGGAACCGAACACCCTGTATATTTTAGCTAACATTTCATAGGTCATTAGAAGAAGATCAAGTTACGTCAATTATGTAATATGAGTAAACTTCATCAACATGGCAACAGCGACAGATCTATCATATGTCGCACGCGACTTGCCACCAAGCTCGCACAAAGCTATTGGTATCAGCAAAAAATAGCACACAGCCATAGCCATAGCAACTTTCCTGGACTCTTACTAAAATTTGATCCCCGCGAGAATCTCCTCTACCGCTATCCGTATAACTCACTTATGTTTGTATAATGTCCACTCAACGTAGGGCAATTATGCGTTTAGCAGTAGTGTTGCTATCTCAAATTAAGTCCAAACGATAGACTGAAAGTCAAACACACGACGCCAAAGTGAAATGGTTTATTTACCCATATTGAAAAGTTATGGAACGATCGTCTCCCTGCTTGGAAAAACAATAGCTCACATTTGAGTATGGCAAAAGGGGCCAATATGGGCGACCACACCAATTGCTTTGTAAGCTAAACGTGTTCGAACGATCCGAGTAGTTTTTTATCGTTTGTTTGTTTGGAAACACTTGTGTTGACATTTTGCCATTCGCGTGCGCACGCCCTTATGAATGTGATGCTTTGATCAGAGCCATGTGCCGCGTTCTAGTTAGGGGACGGATAGGATCTTGTACGCAAACATTCGTCAGCCGTCAGCAAAGACTGTCTGGAAACTTGATCGTCATTTACAGTTGCTGTTAACGTAACACAGTGAGTACGATGAGTATGGGGCGTCTTGTGGCGTCTGATGGAAAGGTTCTAGATCAATGAACTACTGAATGGGGACGAGGTATCATTTTTATCATGATGTTTTGACTAACGGAAACTGCTTTGTCGAGCTAAATGTCCTTCCCTTTCTAGATTTTATCCATATAATGAAATGTTTTTGAACAACCACTGTTGAACCAAGTTTGTCCGTTATCTGAGTCGATGCTACGTTTTATTTTACAAATCTTTGGTCTACCACGTGGCATCTCAAAATACAGTCAACATCCAGGAAATGTTCCCAGGTAAGGCCCTTGGAGAACTCAATGTTCCCTTCTTTATCAGTTCAGTTCAATAATTTAGTATCTACTAATCCACATACCAATTTCCGACTGACTGTTTAGGTACAAACTCTTATCGTCAAAGCAATGACTAGTGCAAAAAGTCCCCACTGGCTGTTGTTGTTGTCGTTGAGTCATTCAAAATATTTGAAAGCTGTGCACATCGATCAAACGTGCTAACTGCAACCGTATACACTGCAACATTTACCCGAGCCGTTCACATCAGTCGCCTGAAACAATTAGCTAATATTCTGACCGTCGCAATTAACACCACAACGATTAACGTCAATCATACGCTCACCAAAGCAAACATATTGACGGGGATCGCTTTGTATCAAGCAAATTGTACACATCAAAAAATACATTTTAATATTACATCCAAAAGGGAGCACTTCAATCATGTCGAAAATCTCATGTAATTTGTATGGCAACAAAAATAAACAAATGCAGTAAAAGCAGCGTTTGCTTTTTGGCAAGTAATATTACACCATATTTTCAACACGATTGAAGTGCATCCACTTTGATGTGATATTAATATTAATTTTTTGCGTGTACTCATTCCCTCAGGATAGGTTTGACTCACGATCGACCATTTTACAGCAATGTGCAATTCAGCCAGGGTCGACACGTACCTACAGCTTAGCTTGCTCGAGCTATCGAAGCAAAACTAGTTGCACAACGATCAATGAGTTTGTACCGCCCACCGCTTACCGAAAATTCTGACCACGCTGGCCACCTGCAGCTGCTGCCACGTTGAAGGCCATTCTTTATGGCCAAAGCAGATCGGCGATCGTTGTCGTGTTGTATACAGTCAGTAAGTAATGTGCATGTACTTTACACGAGTACAAAAATGAAAACAAACCGCACCGATAAGTTTCCCCGTGCCCGGTGAATTTAATAAGAGGGAGGGAAATTTAACTAGAAGGTAGGATGGGAACCAATGGCAAGGTAGGAAAGGTTTGTTTTGATACGGAAATGAATGCTTATTCTAGACCGGGCATTTCTGTTAGACAAGTAACAGGAATACAAGATTGATGGTGACGGTGAGAAGATGAAATAGAGAGAAAGTAGTAAAGATAGCTTGGCGTGATGGCAGAAATAGAATCGCAGGAGGAATATTTAGGTGACCTCTACGCAACGACGATTTGGTGATCGGTTGAATGTAACGAGACGAGGTTTCTTTTTTGCGATGGTCAAAACAAACGAAATTAGATTGGACTGCCGAGTATGTTGACATTCGTATTCCTATATTAATGATCTTTTCATTGCAATAATGTACCATTGTACGATTTTGAACTTTTAGAGCTGTTGTTCTGAATAGGACTGGCTTCGGTGATGCCAGATTATTTTATGCCTTATTTTTTTGATAAGCCGGATTTTGAATAGTGTGCTTGCTTTCATATACTATATACTATATACTGTAGGCAAAAATGGTTGCTCTAAGGCCATCGAGCCTCTCACATCACATCGTACAATCTACGATCGTGTTGTCTAGGATTTCAAGACTTTTTATGGACAAATCGATTTCCCTTATCTTTGCTCGATAATACTCTTAAAAAACTTCTACATAACACTCTCTGCACTATTCTTTATATTGTTAATAATTCTCACAGTACCTAGAATTTATCCGAAAAATATTCCTGAAAAAAACACTTAGGGTTCTCTTCTGCATTTATTTAATATTCTCTTGAAATTCCCATTCAACTACCATAGGAATTCCTTCTTACTTCTGCTCAGAATTGCCATGAATTCTTTGGAAATCTCGTCATAATTTCAATGGAACTCACTTTTGAATTTTCAGACAATTATATCTGAAATATCCTTGGAACACACCTCGGAAGCCCTTTGAAATTGTTTGAGAATTTTCATTGGGATTTTAAATTTATTTAACTTGGAATTTTTCTTGGAATTGCCATAAAGTTTTCTATAGTTTTTGTTAAATGCTCCTAAGAAATCCATCAGAATTTTCGGTGAATTGATTTCAGAATGCCCTTTGGATTTCTCTTATGAATTCACTTGCAGTTCTCCTCACATTTATCTTCAAAATTTGTTTGGCATTTAAGTCAGAAGTCTTTTGGAATTGCTTTGGACTCCTGGAATTATTTTCAGATTTAATTGAAATTCTTCTTTTAGCATACTCCTTATGTATTCTCAGAAAATTCCCTTGAAATTATGCTCTAGATTATTTTTCATCTAGAAACTTTAAAAAAAAAATCCTCAGAATTTTAACGGATCTTTTCTTTGAACTTTTTTCTGAAGCTCTCCTCAAAATTATCGTGAAATAATCCTCAGAATTCTTCTCCAAATTTTCTCAAATGTCTTAGGAATTATCCTCGTTAAATGCTATGCATTTTCGATGATTTTTAAAAAAAAATCCTATTCGTAGTTTCCATGGAAATCTACTCAAAACTACCTTGGGATTAGGTTTCACATGGAATCTGGAGTACCTCGGAACTACATTGAAAGCAGATTTCACTTGATGTTTTTCTCACGTTCATCCCGCAACTCCGTTGGGGTGAGTTTCTTCGAAATTTAAATCCAATTACATGAGCCTTGATCAAAAATCTGGTTTGGTTGATTTTGTTTTCAAATCAATACCCAACACAATGAATCTTCATTCCAGATTCTTGAAAATATCTCCAGTAAAATTATTGTTAAGAACAGAATTTTAAAAAATACAAGTTGTTAAGTATAACATCTGTGCATATTATGTCCATGCTCCAGAACCTGAAAAAGGTAATCAGGCCTCTGAATTTGAAAATTGATTTGAAAATGAAGATACATCTGGTCGGGATGGATATAGTTATTAAGTTTACTGGGTGAAATAAAATAACGAGAAAAGAGAATTCAAATTATTCTGGAGTTCAGATCAAATGATCTACCACATCATCCAAGGCCCTTAGTAACTAATCATCTTCAAACAAGTTCATATAGATTATGCACATTATTTACGTTTCAATTCCATGTGTATAAGATGTTCTGAGTTCTGCAACTTGTCCAGGAGTTCAGGCTATTTGGTCTCTTGGATCAACCA